TGATTCAGTTTATTACTACACACACACACACACACACACACACACTGTTTTTTTCTACTACAGGTTCCTGTATACTTTAAATCATCTCTAGATTACTTATAATACTTAATGCAACATAAATCTACATAAATAGTTGCCAACGACAAATTCAAGTTTTGCTTTCTGGAATTTTTTTCCTGAATATTTTGATCCACATTTGGTTGAATCTGAGGATGCAGAACACCACGGGTGTGGAGGGTTGACTATACTTCCTAAATAACTTCAAAGAGAAAAGGATGAAGATACAGAAATATTGGATTTGACTTTACCTCCCAATTTTCTAGTATTTTTATTGTTTTTAAGTCTACCAAATAATGAATAATAATCAATAATCATTTTACCATTTTTCTTTGCCATATGACAATGGAAAGGTGAGAATGTTGGAAAGCTTTCCTGGTATTTAGGCCAGGTTTCCTTTTATTTTATTCTGTTACATCTCTCTATGGCCTACTCAATAATTTTCTATCTATAGCATCTAAAAGCTCTATTTGCTCTTATGTTTAGCTCTTTAATTTTGACTTAATTATTATATACACAAAGAAGTCTCTTGATCTTGCCCCATAAAACATTTCCTGCAGCTTCTTAGTACTTATTGCTCAATCCTGCCTGACTCGTATTTTTTTGAGGAGTAAACTCAGACATTTACAGTGGCCTAAGCATTTTGGAGGAAGAACTCTCTGAAATTAATTTTAAAATAACCTGTTTTAGAATTTGTGATTTTTTTGGTCTATGTCTGCATTCTTCAAATTTTCTTTCTTTAAAGTGATAAACTTAAAAACAGAAAAACCTCTTTGCTGAGCCAGAAGGAATGAAGGGGAAATGCTTTTTGTGTGTATGTACTGTAGTTTCCTCATTCATTAATGTAGTACTCTCATTAATTCACATACCACACCCATTATTACAAAATGTGTAATAAATGTGCAACAATTTATTCCTCTGCTGCTTTCTGAATTTTTCTTCTGAACACATCTTAATTTCATACAAGGGCTTGAGTACTCAGATTCAGTTTAAATGGCTTTCAAGTTCTAGATATAATAGTTAATGTTTGAACATTAAAATTGTTAATCAATAATAAAAGACTGTAGCAAAGGGCTTGTTATAAATTGATTTTTTTCCTAACACTCATTTTCCTTATGTTTGTTTGTGATGTGTGCTGAATATAAAGGCGACAACATTCCTATGTATTTTCAAACATTTTTAGGGTCTGTTCTGCTGCAGGCACCACCCTCCCCCAGCCAAACTGTTGTCCCCAGTCTGTCCCCATCCTTCAAGTCTCAGCTCAAAACTCGCCTTCTCTGAGGGCAGGCAATCTCTGTCACCAACTTAAAAATTTTGCCTAGATAAGAAATATGCTTGCCTATTTGGTTATTTATTGCATCCCCCGTCCCCATGCCAGTCCGTCATGTGACAGGTCACCACTATCTCCCAGTGATGACTATCGCTGGCCTAATGATACCTGCTGAATGTATAAATTCGGCATTTTCACTCAACGAAGACAGGCCATTCCCTAGGCGATGGGACCAGACTGTAACTTTGCATAACTCCGCACAAATCATGTTCAAGATTTATCTGTGCAGGCGCCTGCTTGCTGGCCAGACAGAAGCTCTGACCCAAATCTCACCTTTTCCACCCGGAGTCTCGCTCCAGGTGCGAGGGGCCTGAGAACCGGCTCCCTAACGTTTCCCCGCGGAGTCCCAAGGAGGCACCGGAACTCGAACAGGGGCCCACCGCAGCCACGTCAGCAGGCACGCGTGACGCCAACGCGCCTGCGCGCGGGGAGGGGCGGTGCGCGTGCGGAGGCCCGCCTCTACATCCGGGGCCTGGGCGGCGGCGGCGCCGCCGCGCGGGGGTCACGTGGCCTCTTCCTTTCCGTCTCTGGCCGGCTGGGCGCGGGCGACTGCTGCCGAGGCGCGTGGAGCCTCGCGCTGCTTCCCTTTCGTCTCCTGTCCCGGCCCGGGCCGCTAAGGAGTTCGCTGACGCCGGGTGAGCCGAGCCTGTCGCCAAGATGCCGGCCTATTTTCAGAGGCCGGAAAATGCCCTCAAACGCGCCAACGGTGAGTAGGGGATCAGGGCGCGCGGGGCTGGGGCGGCCGGAGGCCTCGGAGGTCGAGGGGCCCGGCCTGCTTCTCGTTGCTCCTCCGCCCGACTGCGGCCAGATAGGAGGCCGATGCGGCCTGCCTTCCGCCTACCCAGTCCCTGGTTGGGCATGGTTTCCCTTCTCTCTCCAACCGACCGGGGAGTGGGAGGCGCGGAGCCGGGAACCGTCGCTCTGGGCACCCTTCCTTCCTCCGCTGCCTCCTGGTGCCTCTCGGGGGCCGCAGCTCCGGAGGCAGGCCAACCCGGGCCCGAGCTCCTCCCCTCCGTCCACCTCCGCTTGGCCCTCCAGACCACGGGGCTTTCTGCTTACGCCCCGCGCCCCCGGCCGCCATCTGGGAGTGCCGGGGAGGAGGAAACATGGCTCCCTCCGGGGGACAATGCACGCGAGAACCTCGACTCCACCTCCCGCCGGGGCCGGGAGCTCGACAGTCCTACCTCCAGCCGTCCCGCGGACACCTTCGCCCCCCAGATCCAGCGCCGCGCTTCGCGGGGTCAGGGTCCACTTACCCTTCCCCTCCAGCCACTGTCTCCGTTTCGGGGACTCGGATCCATTTAACATGTTTACTAATTTTTTCTGGCATTGACTATTGGCTGCTCAAAAGCCTGTTCCGACTCACAGGAAGTTGGGACAGAGTTGATACTATAAGAGGGACTTGAAGTTCTCAAACATACCGAAAGTGAGGCCTAGAGAGACTGGTTTGCCCAAGGTCACTCTGGGAGTTAGCCGTTGAGCTAGGAGACTAAAGCCAAGGTCTGTTAACTTCCAGATCAGTCGTTTTTTTTTTTTCATCACAGCGCCGCTGCTTGCAATTTTTATTTCCATATGTGTACTTAAGCCACGGGCGCTTTTGGGAAAACTTGTGTGTGTCCCGGTCTGTTGAAAAGGCATTTATTACGTTGGCATTATGGGGTTGCCAGTGTGTCATACTTGTCTCTGGTCTTTAAAAACTTTCTTATTTAGGGTTCATGTGTTAGGGCGTCCTTCCATTGCTCTTATTTTCATCCTTCCACCTGAAACAGGTTTTGAGGTTTATCCATGTTGTAGATGGATATGCCATGTATTTTAGTTTTATGCTTGCGGAACTTATTTTGTTAGCTTGTTTGAAAATTCTCTTACGAAAAGGTCAGTTTCAGTCAGTACATAAAATTGATACTACTGATACTCTGTCCGGGCCATAGATGTTTGTCATATGCTTGTTATTTTAACTAAAAGTAACAGTTTCAGGGAGAAGTAGCAGTCTGTGGAATCGGATAGTACCACATTCTGTGCAATAGAGTAAGTCTTTTAAAAAAACAATCTACAACTACAAACTACAACTTTGATCTAATTACCACCACTCAGTCTAACCCTTTAATGGTTAGAACAGGCAAGAAGTTGAAGGATGTTGATTAATTTATAGGAAAGAAACTAGATTGAAATGGGAATTTATCCCTCCAAAATAAACTAGCAAAGTTAGAAAAATTTTTTTTGATGTTTTGAAACTTAGAATTACATTGTGTAACAAGCGACTTGGGTGAAATTACTGTTCTAATCGCTACTGCAGATCTGTTTTTACCGTCATTTGAATGCTTTACCAGCAGGCATTTTTTTTTCTCATTTTAATAGGTTGAAGCACTGTAATCTCGATGCCCTAATTATTACACATTCAATGTGTTCAGGCTTTGTTTCTTTCACTTCTCCTGAATCTTTATATGAACTTTTCCAGTAACTTTTTAAAATTAGAAGGGTTGTATGATGCGTAACATGTTAAATCTTTTCTCACAATTTGTAAGTTGAAGTAGATTTGATTCATCAAAGGCAATTTGGGGAAAACGTCTAAAATTAAAGTAGGCAAGATGAGAAAGGGTTACTTGAGTGAGGGTGGAGACTTGAATTTTGTTGGTGCAGATTTTGAACAAGGCTGTACTGACTCCTTGCTGCAGCCCTGTTAAGCTGTAGGAAGGGTGCGTCTATGGTAGAGATGCCTTATCTTTAAGCAGTAATTTCTGTACCTTTAATCCCTTCTTAGTATCAAAGTGAACATAATGGATGGCACATGGCACTGCTTTCAAAACTTTAAACAGGATGATCAAAGCACATTTTATTTAATGGAAGCAATATTGTTTTATCTATAACTTATTTTAATCTTAATCACTTTTAGACCTCATACATTACATTATCCTAATAAAATATGAATACATTTAAGTATGGAATAGTCTTTCAGAGTCACCCTGAGTCTGTATATCAGAGCAGTATTTTTGGAAACAATTGTAGTAATCATCCAAGAAGGTGAGAACTTGGCCTAGGAGTTACAGGCCAGAAATTCATACCCTGGAATCATTTGGAAAAAGCTCCCTTTTCCAGATTATGTTGTTAATGTTGCCAGATTAGTTGCTGCTGACTCTATAACAGCCTCTTAATTTACGCTCCACAACCAATGCCTTAAAAATAAAGCTGTTATTAAACTCAAAAATTGTGTAACATTATAGTTCATCTACTTGGTCTTTTGCACAGATAAGCTAGTAAAATTGAAGGGCTGACCTAAATTTTTTCTTTATAGGCTGATACATAGTTTCATTATGTCTTCAAGGTAAGCTCAGAATGCCTAGAAGTAGTTTGTAATTTTAATTTTTATATCACGACTATCAATCTGGAAATGAAGTTTTCTTCAAACACTGTAATAGAGCTTTTAGTGTGTGATAATTTTTCTAGCCTCAAACTTTTTTCTCCCTAATTAGATAATTCAGAGGAACTAAATCCTTAGATATGTTAGGATAAAGACAGGAACTCACCATCATGGATTATCATATACTTGTTCCTATTCACGTTTTTTTTTCCTTTTAAAAACATCGTTGTCTGGTATCCATGTTTTCTTTCTTTTTTTTTTTCTTGGTGATGGGGGTGTCTGTCCTATTTAAAAAATATTTTTAATCCATTTGCTTTGGTTAGAAACTATTTCAGAGTTTTAAAGTATGGAATTTGTGATCATAAATTTTGATTGGCTGTTTAGGAAATGAAAAGTACTTCCAGTTCTATCACTAAACAAGACTTACTAGTTTTTAGAATGACATTAAGATAACACACTCATTTAAAAATACGAGATTGGGAAAGTGAATTATTTTTAGACACTTTAGTATTTTGTCATCACATCATGCTGGGGCCAGTTGTCACCTTTAACTCTCCA